TATATATATATATATATATACATTTGGCCCCAAGTGTGATTTCAGACTGTTTTCCTGACTTCCGCGTAGTTCCCCCCCCCCGGCAAAAAAAAACAAAGAAGGGGACACCCCCGAAGAGGGTCTCTTCGGTCGAGGTCAGAGGGCCCACCCACTGTGTTGTAACCAGCAATCTGTGGCTGCAATCCAAGGAACCAGGCCATGTATCATGCATGTACTATTCTCCTAATATGCACATTCTCCCCGAGATACACTGCAGCACCCCAATATTCTCGCCAATTTCAAATTCTGCATGCTACTACAAAACTACAAAACTACAAAACTAAAGAACATTGATAATAAATTGTTAAAAAAAAAAAAAAAACACTAAAGAACTACCTCAACAACCTCTCCTGAGCCACAAAAGCAGCATCACTATCCTCATGTTATCAAATAGAAGCAGCAAGTAAACAGTTGTACGACCAGCAAGCAGCAAAGAGGTAGCTCCACTTGAGTACCTCTCGAGATGGACCAAAAACAAAAATGATGGAGGTGTATGTTTCCATGTTCTAGAGGAAGATGCACTATGGTTTTGCACATTTCGAGAGTACTGAATGGAGGCGCACTAGGTCTTCGTCCTCTAGGCTTGGAAAGATACACAGAACGAAGATTGAAAAAAAAAACCAAAAAAAAACAGTACAATGATTAGCATGGAAACAAAATGAACAAAGAGAGAAGCAACATCCGCAGAAGAAAATGAACAAAGAGAGAACCAATATCCGCAGACCGAATATCTAGGCCTTCGTGGCCTAGGCTTGGAAAGACACACGGAAAGAAGATTGAAAAAAAAGAAAAAACAACAACAACAACGATTAGCGCGGCAGAACAAAATGAAGGACGCTATCTAAAAAATCTTAAAAACAAAAACTTTAAGGGGTAACTAGAACCTTTTTTTTTTTTTTTTTTTTTTTTTTTTTTTTTTTTTCCAGTCCTGTCGAAAGTGTACTCTGCAGTTAAAACTCCACTTTGCAGAATAGAAAAGTCGGTAGAAAGGACGAACCGTACGGCGGCGCCGTAGCGCTCAATGTCGGGGACGCTTAGCGCATCTACCTTAGGGTTTCTCACGTTCGCGGAGCTCACCCGCCATGCCTCGGAGCGCATAGCACAGGGAAGGCGGTTTCCTTAGTGTCGACCAGGGAAGTCGAGCAAGAAGAATAGAGCTTGTCCTTAGGCTGGAAAGGGGTAGAGGTGTCGGGCGAGACAGTCGTCTTCATCAGAAGCCGTGATACCAAGGCCAGAGGAGGAGGTGTATATGAACTATATGAGCATACCTGAACTGAAGAACGCTGGTTGTAAGCGTTCTTCCGATGGAATAGTCCTGATATTGTATATTTCCTTCGCACTTTCAGTTTGGGGATCTCGCTGCGGTGAACAACAACAACTTGCAAATAGTGAGTAGAAATTAGGAAAGTTGTAGACCTCTAGGGTTGCTTGTGGAGGGATAGTAAGGGGAATCCCCTCGCTTTCTTCGTACTTTTCCATACAAGAATGCAGAAGAGGAGATCGTGTACAGCGGAGTGCTCTGTTTCCGATCGATTTAGAACAATGCGGATGGAGGTCGGGATCATATGGGGAAGTAGCAGTAGCGGCGCAGTGGAACGGGTTGGAGGATAAAGAGAGACAATAGTTGGTTATGAGTCGGGGTGAAGGGCTTGAGTAGGGTTGGACTGTGACACAGCTCACCTTCCAGAGCAACGCATCTGGTCGAAGGGCAACTCGTACTCCTTTCTATTCGACAAGGTGAAAGGAGAAGGTGGCACCGAGATTACTCGTTACCCGGGGATTGACACAGGAGTTTCAAGATCTTCCGGCGATAGAGAGCAGAGGGGTTATCTTCCTACTGCTGGGAAGAGAAGTGAGGCAGGAGCGCTAGCAGTTTAAAAATACTTCGAGAAACACTGTTAAAGCGGGCCTCCTATGGAGTTCAATGTGTCATGCCGGAACTGTGGAGGTGAACTAAGATGGGTATGTGTGATAGGCCAGTGCCATCAGGATGACCTGCCTCAAATCAATGATGGTGAGAATGATGATGTAAATGATGATGCTAACGATAATGAATCATTGGAATCATCTCAAAACGGTGACGATGAAGATGATGATGATCTTGACGATGATTATGATGATGATGAGGAGGAGGACGATGATGATGATGATGATGAGGAGGAGGACGATGATGATGATGATGATGATGATGACGATGATGATGATGATGATGATGATGAGGAGGAGGAGGAGGACAATGGTGATATGAATTGTTGGAATCAGAAGACCAGGGAAGAAAAGGATCTTGGCGGTACAGTCTACTGGGGGAAGAAGAAAAGCAAAGACAGGAGAATGGATTTCAAAGATTTCAACGACGTGAACGACCGTGAGCAGGAGGGCAAGGACGATAATGTTGAAAAGCTCGTAATCGGCAGGGGAGGAGACGGGATTGGAGAGTTCCTTGGTGCTGCGAGAGAATGTTGTGAGTGTGTGTGTGTGTGTGTGTGTGTGTGTGTGTGTGTGTGTGTGTGTGTGTGTGTGTGTGTGTGTGTGTGTGTGTGTGTGTGTGTGTGTGTGTGTGTGTGTGTGTGAGAGAGAGAGAGAGAGAGAGAGAGAGAGAGAGAGAGAGAGAGAGAGAGAGAGACAATGAGAGAGAGAGAGAGAGAGAGAGATCATTGAATCATCATTGAGTCATTGAACAAAGAGATCATTGAACCTTGGCTGAGGAGTCACAAAGCTTGAGGAAATGTTATTGATGAAATCAAAGGCAGTTGCCAAAAGGATAGGCTTGCTCAAGTTATGTTGTTAATTATCTAGGGGCTGCTCTTCAGTTGTTGAGCCAATTGCAGAACCTTTTGATCCTCAGAATTGGTTGTTACAAGTCTGGGTGCAGTGGGTAGTGGGACTAGATGCTAACTCATTTCTGACGCCTTAGGGTGAAGAGGTCCCATTGTGTGCTGTTAGCGCAGAGAGTTTCTGAACTTTGAGAATTTACTCGATGATTTATTCATTGGAAGGGACGTTGGACCCGGTTTCCAGCAGGTGCAGCTCCCCACCAATAGAAAGGAGCCATCGGAACCTTGCCTGTGATACGCAACTTCACGCCCCCTCGCGGCTTTCCGTACGGGGTCGCCGATCAGAGTTCTAGGAGGGGCGTGACCGAGGATTTTTGGCCGTAAGGGTTGAGTCTCCCGGACGGAACAGGAGGCCCTCGTTTCGTGCCAGAGGTTTTCCCCGGGGTCAAACTGTCGTCGCGAAGTCCCATGGAGGTCGGATCACTCCGAACAATAAAATCAGGAAGGTTTCCGCAAAAACGAACTGTCGCTGTGTATCAGGACGGGAAAAGGCATGAAGGGGAAGGGGCCATGGCGGCGGAAAACAGAAACTCCGGCCGTCGTGGGTTAGGGGGATAGGTAGCGGGTTCGAAGCCTTCAGGCCTCGTCACCGGCCTCACGAATTGACCGGACCGTCGGGTTGTTGCTGTAGAGGTTGTTGGTTCGGGGCCTTCACGCCTCGGCGTCGGACTCGCAAAGTCCGCGCGGAAGTTCCCGAGAGGGTGAAGAGGCGGGAGGACTCGCCGGCGTCCGAACTCGAAATTGCGCGGGCAGCGCCCCCGCACTACGGGAAAGCTCGGGGAAACGTGTCGCTCCCTCGTAACCCAGGACCAGTCGTCGCCAAGCACACGAGTCCCCCTGGCGACACCAGCGACAATCAAACTGCGGCCGCCACGCGGCGTGAGCGGCCGACCAGGGTAGCACAGTCAAACTCCTATAAGGTAATATTAGAGTCGGGGAATCAAAACGCTCAATCAAGAGAAATCCGTTCCCCCTTATATCACAAGCCCGAGGCGGGTCTCGCAAGCACACTTGCTCTGTTCGCCTCAGCGCGCGCCATACGTCCGCATTGCAGAATACGTTGTCTTCATCTTTGATGGGGAAGGTCGGTAGCGAGATGAGACAATCGGAGGTAGGCGATGAACACGGGCAAGATCCCACGCTCCCGGTTATCCGAACCAACATCGACTCCATACAACACCCGATGCAACCTTCTCTCTCTGGGTTAGTGCGTCGGAGGAAGATGGCGAAGTCGAAGCTCTCTTCTCCTTGCGGGGGCGTCGACCGCGCCGCGGACGCAGGTGGTTGACGTCACCGGTACGGGGACGGGAAACTCAAAAAGGATGGCGGGAGAAAGAGAGAGAGAGAGCTTACACTGAGAACGCCCGCACGCGCGCTGTCGGAGGGCACGGTGTCCCGACCCTCCTATGTACCAAGTCTCTACATAGTACCCGTTTTCCTGCTCTGGTACCTTGATCGGTTCTCGGAGTGGACAGGTTCTGGTGGCGTAGCCCTCAGCAAAAGGGGTGCGCCACAAGACTTTCATTGGTCCACGCAGGCTCGGCGCCATGCTATACACCAGAGCACAACCGGCCTGTGGCCGGCCAGAGGCCGTGGTAGCCTCCGGGTTCGCCCTGGGACGCGGAGGTGAGAAGACTGGCTCGGTCTTTTGAATTGCGCGCCAACTGGCCCTGTACAGAGTTATGGGTTGGGTGCACGAAAACAGGTCGCTGTCGGATGGAAAAATTGAGCGAAGGAGTAGAAGGAAAATGAGAAAATAAAAACAGGAGA